CATATTTATTATAAATAAATGTTAAAAGATTCTATTTCAATAATTTACTATAATATAATAATTATACACACTAATATTAAACCAGGATAACTCATTAATGTATTAAATACTAGTATTGTCATTATGATTATAATTTTTAATAGTATTATCTTTATAAGAGAGATAAGTTAAATTTAAATATATGATTTCACAAAAGAGATCCCATTTAATTTAAATTTTTTTAATCACTTAATATAAATCTTACTCCGTATTTTAATAAATTTTTGGAAATCAATAAAAAGTCTCTAAAAAATTACACTATATATAATTTGAAATAATGATGGATTTTAATACAGATGAATTTTTTTATGGGATTAACAAGTCTTTATATTACAAAACAGAAGAATAAAAGAATGAAATCAAGAAAATGGACCCAGAATATCTGACTAGAACGTAATTGTTTATATTTATAAAAGGGGAACTGATTTTGTATTGTTGCCTAATTCACCTGATTTCATTAATCATAATGAACCATTTGAACCAATGTATATACCAAAATAAACTATTCTGGAAGAGAGTTTAAGAAGAGAAATTGAAAGAATCTGTTTTGCAGACACACTGTTGAATAAAGTAGTTTTTGACTGTGCTGATCCTAGTCCTTTTACAAAGGTAACCTTATCATGATTTCTATAGGATGTTGATCCAGCAACATATGGTTTAGAAGTCTTACCATATTATATACCATAATCAAAAGAGGATTCAACATTAGTTTTTGAAAGTAGATTTGAAAGTGGGAATCTGAGAAGAGCCATATAAATGTAATTTATGAATACAAAATTATTAAAGTTGTGACTATGAGTATAACCTTATCCTTAAGCCTGATTATTACACTACAATGAATACTTAATGGTTCTATTTTTCTCTATCAAATACAAGAAAGGATGTAGAATATAGATTCAATATTATTAATATGATGAAACCAGATTCATTGTATAATTCTGGAATGAAACCATTAATGTATTCAGAATGGGGAGCAAAGTAAAAAAGTAAAAATAACTTTTAAATTATTTTCTAGAGATTGGATGGTTCAGAGATGGTCATGAGATATGTTATTATCAAAACAACATGAAGAGAAAGAATGGAGGATTCTATTATACTTTAACATTTGCAGTTAAATTTTAATATGATTTTGATTGCATCTATATTGCACATTGTTATCCTTACACATTTACTCATTTATGCAGATATTTAAAATAGTTAGAATCTGATCCTGCTAAAAAAAATAGAGTTAAAAGAAAATAACTATGTCAAACAATTGCTGGAAATATGTGTGATTTTTTGATAATTGGGGATTTTAATAATGGCAAAGAAAAGAAAGGGATTGTTATTACTTCAAGAGTGCATCCAGGTGAAACTATGGCTAGTTATGTTATGGAATATATGATTGATTTTTTAACAGGTAACACTCATGAAGCAAGAATTTTAAGAGAAAATTTTATATTTAAAATAGTTCCTATGCTTAATATTGATGGAGTTGTGAATGGAAATTATAGATGTAACTTAGCAGGTGTTGATTTAAATAGATAATGGATTGATCCAAATAAAAAATAACATCCTACAATTTATCATACCAAATAATTAGTTAAAAAAACTAAAGAAGAAAGAGATTTAGTACTCTTTTGTGATATACATGGACATTCAAGAAAAAAAAACATCTTTATGTATGGTTGTTCTGGAAAAGATCCAAATAGAAAAGAATTAGTATTCCCTATGCTCAATCGAAATAATTGTAGTGTTTTCTCTTTCAAGGATTGTTGTTTCTTACTTTAAAAGGATAGAGAAGGTTCTGCTAGAGTAATTATAATATATATATTATATTTAAGATTGCCTTATGGAGAGAACTCTCTATTATTAATTGTTATACTTTGGAAATGTCATTCTGTGGAGCTGACTTTGGCAAATATGAATATTTTCATTTTAATCTAGATATTTACAAAGAAATTGCACAATCTTTTTGTTTATCAATTATAGATTGTTATGAACCAGAACAAATAAAAGTTAAATAAGTTTTAGAAGAAATTGAATAAAATAGTCTTAAAAACTAATAAAAAGATGATAAAAATAATTCAGGTGATGAAGGATCTGATTATTCTAATGATGATCCAAAAGAATAAGCTATGCCTTAACAATAATAAATTCAACTTTAAAATAATGATTAATGTAATTTTATTATATTTAAATATATTATTAGAATTAGGGTCATAAACTAAGAAATTAAAAAAGATTCCATTACTCCCTCCAAAAAAGAAAAAAGGTTAATGAATATTAAGAAATATAATTAACTTATATTTAATAATTTTCATTATAATAAAATAGTTCAGTTTTCTTAATTTTAAGATTAAATGACTGGTTTCTTTATTTTATTAAATACTAATCCAGCCCTTTTTAAATATAGAATCTATTCTAATTTCAAAGAATCTACATCTTCAAATGTTACAATTTTTTATTCTTATTCTAATTAAATAATAATCAATTATATTTTACATATTATAACATCTCCAAATGAACTTTATTTTTTACTTTAACTTTTATGTGATTCCTAATCTTCAACCTTTTTTGTACTCTAAAATTTAGAGAGTTAACATTCCTTTGGCACTGATCTGGATATCTTTTTTTAAGATGAATTCTTGGCTAAAGAATTTATTGATCTATTAGATTTATTAGTTTTTTAAGAATTCCTTTAATAAAGAGACTTTATATCATTTGTATGAATTGAAAAATCTAATTAAAATTCTTTGCTTCTATCATTAGATTATTCAGATTATTTAATACTTTTCATTGATTGTCTATTACACTTATCCAATTCTAATCCACTTAACATTTAATTTGATTTATAATTAGTTTCTGAAGTCTAACGTGAATGATGTAGAATGTAAGGACTGTCTAGAATCTCTAAACAACTTATTCTATCTTCTATTTTATATTCAAGCATTTTTTTTATTAAGTATTTTAAATCTGGATTAACATCTTACCAAGGAGACTTTTCAAAATTAACTTGACATTTTTTATTTAATTCTAATATTTATGTAGCAGTAGGGGCTTTAAATGGCATATATCCAGCAACAATCTATATAGATATTAAATTAATACCAAATACATAATTACACCTAAACTAAAGATATCACTTTTAGCAGTATAAGGTATTTATCTAAAGATTTCTGGAGGAAGAAAACCAGGAGTTCCTGCCTAACTAACTAATTATTTTTCATTAATAATTTCAGAGAAACCAAAATCAACTAATTTTAATTATAAATAGTCTTTTGATTCTAACATGATATTTTCTAATTTTAGATCTCTATGTACAAAATTCAATCTATGCATCTCATATAGAGCATCACATAATTACTTTAATATATAAGCATAGTGCTTATCGTTAAATTTAACTTTTTATTTCACATATGAATATAATGTTCCTCCAGCACAATATTCCATAATTAATATTAATTTATCTTTTTCTTAAATTACTTCATATAATTTCATGATATTTTAATGATCAACATTTTTTAGTGTTGTAATTTCATTATAAACCATTGACTAATCTATTTTTTAATAAATATCTTTACAAGCAATCTTTCTTTGTGTGCATGATCATCATAAAATTATTTAAAATATGTTTTTGCAGCAAAATATCTCTCATCTCTTTTTCTACTAACCTTATAAACTGATGCAAAAGCACCACTACCCAATAATTCCAATTATTCATATAAAACAGTGAAACCTCTCATTAAACAAAATTATTATATGCATTCCCCTAATTTTAATGTTTAATCAATCAAATGATCAAATATAGTTATTCCAACCCCTTGATTCTTTTCTAAATATAATACTGGTAATTAAAGGTTTCTTTTTGTCTTTTAAAAACTTACTATTATTCTAATTTACATATTCAATTATAGGAAACCTTTAGGTAATGTATCTGATTCCTTTTTAAAAATAATAATATTTAATACTTTTTTATAGTACATCAGTAAACCAGAATTTGTTAATCTATAAAAATAACCTTTAACAATCTTTTTCTTTTTTCCTATTCTTAACATATTACTAGCAAAGATGTAATCATCAAATATCCAATTCTTCTCTGTATCCTTATAAGCTCTTCTTTCCCAAAATTATTTTATTAATGGATCATTTTTTATTTTGAAAAGTGGCCAACTAAAGTCGTTATCAGGTTTTGTTAAAATAAAATTTGGTTTTTTAATGACAACAGGTTTCTTAAAAATATTACCATAAAGTGAATCATTTTTCATAGTTGGAGTTCTAGATTATTATACACTATCATTATGGCCTGATTGTTGCATTTATCTTGAAAATGTTTAAGTTCTTGGAATGTTTTCTAAAGCTAAACCCATACTATTTTTCTTAACTAGTAATGGTAAAACAGAGACACCATTTCGAAATATTGTCTATTAAAGGGGAATCGATTAATCATGCTCAATCATAATATTTTTTTTCATTTAATTAAATTACTTTAATTACATTCTAATAAAAATATCAATAGATATAAAATATCACATCTCTAGAATCGTTTAAATTTACATAAACTATCCATCCCATCCTTATTAGAATAATAATAAATTGAATCCTAATTAGTTTATATATTTATATAATTTAAAAAAAAATAATTAAAATTATATGATAAGCATTAGATTTTATTATATTATTTGATGATTTAGATAATATTAATTATAATTCAAATAAAAATATATTTTTTGTATCAATTTTAATAAGATACTTCTTATCAAATATTTTTATAACACATTTAGAAATCAATTTAATTAATAAGAAACAAAGAAATAATTTTATAATTTGATTAGAATTAAGATCATCTACTTTTAATGTTTAAATAGTAAAATTTTGATGTCTTTCATAATATTTTATTATTTTTATTGTTTGAATTTATAGCATAAGAAATAGATATGAATAATAATTAAAATCAAATCATGGCCATATTTTGTTCAAAATCAAATCTTAAATCCGCATTACTTACATTTAGATTAATAAAAATAGTTTTCTGTTCTACATAGTGTACAAATTTTCATAAAGTTGAAATTCTTGTTAACCGTTTCTTGTTTATTCTATGTTAAATTCTCTAAGAAAAGAGCTTAATGAAAGACAGCTTGTTCTTGAGCTTTACTTCCAACACTATCTGTAGTACTATGTCCACTACCTGTTAGATCAGGTTCTGAGAGTTTTAATGAATCAATAATATTTAATTGTTCTAATGGGATGAATTTTGTGCCTGGAGCATCTCTTGTGAAAGTTTTGCATCGATTGCAGTATTTCCTAAAAGAGTAATTCAGGTTTTTGCATCCAATACAAATCCAGTCTAATGGCTTGTTTTACATTCTCTCTTTGTAATATAANAGTGGCCAACTAAAGTCGTTATCAGGTTTTGTTAAAATAAAATTTGGTTTTTTAATGACAACAGGTTTCTTAAAAATATTACCATAAAGTGAATCATTTTTCATAGTTGGAGTTCTAGATTATTATACACTATCATTATGGCCTGATTGTTGCATTTATCTTGAAAATGTTTAAGTTCTTGGAATGTTTTCTAAAGCTAAACCCATACTATTTTTCTTAACTAGTAATGGTAAAACAGAGACACCATTTCGAAATATTGTCTATTAAAGGGGAATCGATTAATCATGCTCAATCATAATATTTTTTTTCATTTAATTAAATTACTTTAATTACATTCTAATAAAAATATCAATAGATATAAAATATCACATCTCTAGAATCGTTTAAATTTACATAAACTATCCATCCCATCCTTATTAGAATAATAATAAATTGAATCCTAATTAGTTTATATATTTATATAATTTAAAAAAAAATAATTAAAATTATATGATAAGCATTAGATTTTATTATATTATTTGATGATTTAGATAATATTAATTATAATTCAAATAAAAATATATTTTTTGTATCAATTTTAATAAGATACTTCTTATCAAATATTTTTATAACACATTTAGAAATCAATTTAATTAATAAGAAACAAAGAAATAATTTTATAATTTGATTAGAATTAAGATCATCTACTTTTAATGTTTAAATAGTAAAATTTTGATGTCTTTCATAATATTTTATTATTTTTATTGTTTGAATTTATAGCATAAGAAATAGATATGAATAATAATTAAAATCAAATCATGGCCATATTTTGTTCAAAATCAAATCTTAAATCCGCATTACTTACATTTAGATTAATAAAAATAGTTTTCTGTTCTACATAGTGTACAAATTTTCATAAAGTTGAAATTCTTGTTAACCGTTTCTTGTTTATTCTATGTTAAATTCTCTAAGAAAAGAGCTTAATGAAAGACAGCTTGTTCTTGAGCTTTACTTCCAACACTATCTGTAGTACTATGTCCACTACCTGTTAGATCAGGTTCTGAGAGTTTTAATGAATCAATAATATTTAATTGTTCTAATGGGATGAATTTTGTGCCTGGAGCATCTCTTGTGAAAGTTTTGCATCGATTGCAGTATTTCCTAAAAGAGTAATTCAGGTTTTTGCATCCAATACAAATCCAGTCTAATGGCTTGTTTTACATTCTCTCTTTGTAATATAATATATATATATAATTGATTTATTTTAATGACAAAACATTTCATTCACATGCAATTTTGTAATCAAAACTAGTTAATGCAATTTAAAATGCTTAAAGTGGAGTAATAGGATATTAGAAATCTAAATTGAATAGATCTTCCCCAACTCTCCCAAACTACAATAATATATTATCCTCCTTCTAGTCTTCAATAAGTTGAAAGTTTTTAACACTAGGTTTATCTACTCTTTAATAAAAATTTAAGACAAATGCTTTATGTTTACTGTTCCATTATGGGGGTCTATTTACATAAGTGATAATTTAATCTCTATTATTGTTTAAATATTCTTTTAATATTCCATCTTTTGAATTAGAAGGTTTGAATTCATACAATTAATCTCGATCATTCAAATTTGGCAATAAAACCTTCATTTACTCAAATGATTTACCACCATTTTACGAGGTCCTTTTGAACCAAGTATGTTACTTTCATACTGAACAATTCCTAACTGTTGTCTAAATTTTTATGGATCTTTTGTTTTCTCTGGATTTAACCCTGAATCATATAAGACAAATTCAGTTCCCATAAAATTGCTCCTAACTTTACCTAAGAAATTGTCACTTTTTTCCATATCATCTCTTGATTATGAAATAATATAATTGCTTGTATTATTACACGCTCTTTTTTTTGCACTCATTAAATATAAAAATCCATTTGAAACATGCATATGATATTTAGGATAAAATCTACACATTCCACTTCTATCTCTTTTTATTGTACATTAAATCATTCCTCCTCTCTCTACTGGATTTACCAGAAAATGCTTCTTACCATAAGGCATTGATATTGAAACTAATGGTTTAGGATAAGGACAAGTTTATTTTGGTTATTATTATTATTATTATTATTATTATTATTATTATTATTATTATTATTATTACTATTTTGATTACAATTACTGCTCCTCTTAAGATATTTGTTATTATCCTTCAAATATTAAATTTGAAGAATTTTCTATTATGTTTTCCTATTTTTCATTTTCATTGTTTAAATTTTCAAAAAGAACAAAATTTTGTTTTTCTTTATTTTTATCAGTATTTTCTTAAACAATTTCAGATTAATTATTATCTATTTAAATAATATCCTCAAATTATCCATTTTATTCATCTAATTATTAATATTTAGAAGATTTATTTTAAACTTAATCTTCCTCTAATTTTGACACATTTTAATTTTCAGATGTTTTTTTTGTATAATCAAATTATAAGTTATTATTTTATTTTGAAAGTTAAGGAAGATCATTATTTTTAGTAATTTATTATCCTGGTTCATAATACTTATTATGATTATTCCCAATTATGGTTAACTAAAATTGTGGTAATTATTTACTTATTCAATGTTTAAATCATAGTCTTAACCATACGAAGACTCATTCTAACCAAGTTTCTTTCTATATTAGGCATTATTATGCAATGCACTAATTGAATCAAAAGTCTTTGGTTTTTATGTTCTTACATGTTATTGTTACTATAATTAAGGTGTATAATTACATATTATTCTTCTTATTCTTATTAGCTAAGAATTAAAGGATTGATAATCTAATTTGCTCCATTTTTTTCATCATCCGAATCAAATTGAACCAGACTTTCGGCCAAATCATTATCATCTTAAATCTAGGATTCAGCCTACTTTTTAGAAATCTCCATTTCTCTCTAATTTCATTAAATTACATAATACTTATTAAATTCTAGTCAGAGGTTTATTATCTTATTTGGATTCATCTTTCTACTTTAATTAAAATCGATTTAAATTATTAGACCTTTCCTTTGGCTGATATCTTGAATTCAATTACTAATTCTAAACTGAGGAATCTTATGCTTCATTTATCAATTCAGGATCAAGAAACATAAGGTAAAAAATAAATATAAATAAAATAAACTATTATATATAATTATATATAAGAGATTTTTAAGTATTGAATTTAAAGAACATTATACCTGTTTTCTATTTAAATTACAACATCTCTAATTTTGACCTAATTTTATTAAGTTAAAATTGATATCGAATTTTAAAAATTAATCCTATTATAATATTTGGACTTATTTTTCTATAAATAATTAAGATAATAATATATTAATTTAAAATTTATTAATATATAGGATTTGAGAATCATTATTCTTATACTTTTTGATTATTTTATTAAAATTAAAAAATTACTTTAAAATTAATATCAATATGTATCTCAATATCTAAATTTTTTAATCAAATATTAACAAGGATGCAACTTTTAATTCAAAAATTTAAAGTAGTTTACCTGCTTATTTATTATTTGCTTTAATAAATTTAAATGCTTTCATTTTTTGGATTGAATGATTTCTTATCTTAATAATATTGTTGGATTTGTTATTCATCCAATTAATTATAATCAATTTAAGTTTCAAACTCTATAAAATTATTTGCATAGAATTTAATAAAATTTAACATTTAGATATTTTAATAATATAATTTTATATATTTAAACATATATCTAATGTTTATATTTATATTACCTTGAATAGGTAAGATAATTTAATTTATCCTTAAAATTATATATTATAAATATTATTAAATCATACTAAGATTATTTTCTTTTTCTTTTATATTTAATCCACAATCATGCAGTCTTCTTCTTCACTTGGATCCAAACTTACTCCTCCAACTTGATTAGTAAATTCAAAATTTACTTATTAAAATTAGTATTATTCAAATTCTGGTTCTTCCTAAGTTTATTCATAAGAACTTAATCCTAAATCAATTTAAATATCTTATAATGAATCCTCCTTATCATTACCTTGAAAAACATTAGCTCCTTCTAAATTAGGTATTTCTCCTGAAAGATAGACTGCTAAAACATATGTCCACATACAAATCATAACTTAATAAAAAGGTTTTCTTGAGCTGCAATTCTATTATACTATCATACATTTGTTGAACAAAATATTGGCATAATAAATTAGAAATTCATAATCTAATTTATTTTTTAATGTAGAAATTTGTTAGTCAGGAATTTAGTAGTATTTAATTCCTTTTGTAATTCTTCCAAATTATAATCTTTTTTAGCTAAATATAAGAACCAATCTTTGATTCTTTTCACTGTGATAATACATTTAATTATCTTAAATAAATGCTGAATAGCCTCCTTAGATATTATTTTGGATATCATTTATTACTTCTTAATTTAAATCATTTTCTGATAATGTTGTTAACATAATACTACATTACATTTCATTAATTTTATATGAATTCGTACATTTATAATTCTTTTTCTTTTTTAATGATCCTTAAGTATAGTTAATAGATTATCCACAAAAAGCTTTTAATGAATAAATTACTTCTAATATAAAATCGTGCTATTCACCAAATAAATTAATAATTCTTCCTTTTTTTTTATCTAATCTAAAGAAATCTAAAATTGGGAACATTATTGCCTTCATTTCTGTTGTAAATTTGACTAATGAATCACAAAAATAGTTATCAGAACTAGACAATTACTCTAAAATAGCAGGACCACACATATCTATTTTAGGAAACCAAGTAGTTTTTGATAGATCAAATTCGATTGATTTTTCTTCTTTTAGCATAGGCATTCTCCTTAAATCACATGTGATATTAGTCATAGTGTTTAGAGTTTAAGCAAAAAAGGGTCGTATAGGCATATATTGTTCATACAATTTGAGTAATTCCAAATTCAAACATGGTTCTCTTTCTAAATATCTCCATGCTATAGGCCATTTTTTATTTTTTAGATCTAATTCTAAACTACTAGATTTTTTTCTCATTGATCTCCAAAATTTCATTCTAACTTATTTTCCTTTTGCTTCATCATGAAATATATCATATGCAACTTTAATCCAAAATTCCATGCTGACTCTTTTTTTTTTTATAAAATCACAAATGCAAATCTTAAAAATATCTGATTCAAGAGTAGAATCTATTATGCTAGATAATCTAAACTATTTGAATTAATCCCATTATTATAACATTTGTTTATCAGTATTTAATCTTTATGGATTTGGTTGATATTTCTTTTACAATAATTTTACATATAATTCTAAATCTTCTTTAAAAGTCTCATCAAGATTTCTAGTCATCTATCTTAGTTGGAAAAATTTTCTGTTCATGTTTTTATTCATAAAACAATTAATTACCATCTTTTGTATACATAGATATTTAAGATATATATATATATATATATATATCGATAAATTTTTGTAAAATGATTTAATAATTCATATGATTGATTTAAGAAAAAATATATATATTAATTTATTAGAACAAAAAATCTTTTCACTACATCTTAGAGTAACATTAGTAAAGTTTTGCATAAAGTTGTGTAAGTAACTCAATTTAATGTTATAATTTCTTTTGTTCATTTTACACTTATAATCTAATTAATAATTAAATTATACAAATATTTATCGGATTCTTATGTGCTTCTTTATTTAAGTAAATCAATTCTTTCTAAATTTTAAAGTTATGCCTTTAATTATAAGGCTAATTTTGCATTTTCTGAATCTTTATTAGTCTTTTCCAATTTTTTTAAAAACTATTGCATTTTTTCTGTGTCTTTTAATTCACAAGTTAATTCTGGAATAATTAAACCTGGTTTACTCAATAGTCTATTCCATTAGATACCTAAAATATTATTATACATAAAAAACCTTTGAAAAATTTATGATTTTTTATTTCTTCAATAGATTTATGACCTATTCTTTTATTAAAGTCAGGTTCCAATAATTTTACAATTAAATCATAAGCTTGTTCTGAAATACATTCTTCTTCATTTCCAATTTAAGGCCATTCAATTCTCATATTCAAAATATTATCAAAGATTTTTTCTACAGTATCATCATTAAAAGGTGCAATACCGCAGAGCAATTCATACATTATAATTCCTAAACTCCAGTAATCTGAACTAAAATTACTCACTGAAGTTCCTAATATAATTTCAGGGGCAATATAATCTGGAGTACCAACAATCCTTATATCAATATTGTAAATATTACTTTTTAGTCTTACTTCCTTATTTCTCAACTAAAATAGATTCTACTTTTTTGAGTTATTTATAAATAGGCTAATATCCAGATTAATCACTAATTTGTTCTATACAAGTTGGTATCTCTACTGAATTTTAAGTACTCAAATTTTCTTTTAATTTTAATCTACTATTCACTCCTTATTCTGATAGACCAAAATCAGCAAGTTTAGCATGTCCTTAACAATCTAATAATATATTTTCTGGTTTTAAATCTCTATGTACTATATTTTATTATCTTAAATATTCTAAAGCCAAAACAATCTCAGCCATATAATGTTAGACATATAATTCATCAAGTGCCTTTTATATTAATATTAGAATCTACCGTATATTATTTTAAAATGCTAGCTAGATCCCCTCCCATCATATATTCTTGTACAAAACAAAGATACTATTCATGAACAAATGAAAAGTATGCTTTAACAACAAAACTACTATTCAGAATTTCAAAAATGTTTCTTTCAGCCTTTAATTATTCAAAAAATGCTTCTAAATTCTATTATAAAAATATCAAATTTACTCTTTAAGCACAATCAATTATTTTTAATGCGTATAAATCGCCTGAACCTTTTTTCTTTACTAAAAAAACCCATCCATAAGCTCCTTTTCCTAATAATTTAATGAATTCAAAATCTTTAATTCCAACTTTTAAAGTTTCATTTTATTATGGAGAAACAGTTTTTATTAAATTGGAATCGGAATGATATCCTTTATCAATCAAAATTTCATCCATTGTATTATCATATACAACAATGGGAGATTTACAAATTTGATTTTCAAAGAATTTACTTTTTCTTTGTGGATTTTTACCATTTAATTACATTTTATCGATTTCTTAGGATTAAAAACTTAATTTGTTTTTCTTTTTTTATTTTATTTTAGGAGCTAAATTAATTAAATCATTATTATTAATATTAGAATTACTAGATTCTAAACTAGATTTATTTGATGAATTTTCGCTATCTTTAATAGATTATTTATTAATTTCAATTATTTTATTAGGATATTTTTTTTCTTCTGTAATTTCCTCTAAATTTTATTTTTTCTAATTTTTCATTAATAATGGTTAAATTGAAGCTTTGAATTAGGATAGTTTTTATAATGAATTTTAAATATTCTCTCTTGATTATTTAATTTCATTACTAGATTATTTAATTTCATTACTAGATTATTTTAATGTCTATTCAACTTTAACATCACTTATATTAGAATTTATAGATTAATTTGTTTCTATTTAAGAAAAATAACTTGTTTTGATTTATGTCAATGTAGATGGTTATTTAATTGATTTAGGTGAATCAGATCCATCACTCACCTTGAAAATAGAAGAATTCATTTTAAATGTTCTTCTTTAAGATGTAAGTTTTTAAGATGATTAAATTTAAGGTGATTATGGTGTATCATCTTCTTCTTAAATTGGATCTGTAGATATCCTTTAAGAAGGAGATGGAGAATTTTAAAATTTTGGCATTCTAAATGAAATTGAATTAGATTTAGTAAATGCTCTTTTAATTTTACTGATATTATCTTAACTTTAATTAGGTGATCCTTCTAATGAATTATTGATTATATTCTCTTATTTTTTTTAATAATCAAGTCTATCTAATAAACATTTATGAGTTGCATTTATAATTGACTATGTTTCTTGGCTTTCAATAAATCCACTTGCATTGACAATGTCATTTAACAATACTAAAGTTTCTATTAATAAAGCTCATTATAAGATATTACATTTAGTATCTTCAACTTCAGCAGCATTATTTAATGTTTTTTCAGCAAAGTTAATAATTTATGTCATTATGTTGACTATAGTATTCAATTCTTATTAATATTCATTTTAATTATCTTCATCTTCATCTTAATCATCTAAAGTTTGAACTCTTCTATAAATAAATTTTGTATTATGGTATTATCTTTTCCTTGTTTTATCTCTCATTCTTAAAGTATAATCAAGATAATAATACTTTTTAATTGCTAACTTAACTTGTACATTTCTTTTTTCTAAATAAGCTTAATCACAAATATTTGCTAATTCCAAATTAAGTTCTAATAATCTTTTTTTACTTTCAGCTTATTATTCACACTTTATACAATGTTATGCCATTTATGTTGCTTAGATTGGTTGTTCACATATTCTGCATATAAACATTTTTAATAACTTTTTAGAGATTGATGCTAAATCTGAATTCAAAGAACTTTATTGTAAATATGTCAATATACTTTTGTATGTTTCGAATGCATATGTTAGACCATCTTAATTAATTTTTTTAATTTTGTTTATTTATCCAGTTTTTACTGATAATGTCTAAAGTTATCCTAAGCTTTAAAGATAAAATTTTAAATGATCTAAATGAATATATAAATAAACAAGAAATACTTTTATAATGACTTTCTACCAATCGATCTTCTAAATTGTCCCTTTTTTATTGTATTATCATCAATTCTAGAAATATCTTCAAGTAAATTATTAATTTTAGTGTTGATATCCTAATAACTTTCAAAGTTGTCTGATTGAAAGAATGAATAAATGTTTAGCAAAGATGTTTCTATGATTTTGACTTATTCTTTCTAATAAAAGTGATAATATGTTAAAATTATTACTGCTTACAATTTATAGTAATGTTATAAAATTTCAGCACTTTATTTAATAGCTAGAGGTTAGGGTTTTAATATTTTTATTTATTATTCTATAAAAAAATTAGTCACCAATAGTTAATCTGCCTCCATATACTTTTGTATTAAAATTAAATAATAAATTGTATTAAATATTGATTATATTTATATTATTATGATGTACCATCAATAAGGTTTAACAAATCCAGTTGGGAATTCTGTAGCTGTCTTGAACTCTAACATTTCTGGAAATCTATATCCTTTATGATATAATTCCCTACTCAAAACTTACCATAAACCTGGTTTCATAACAGATAATTAAGTTCTAAATTGATAATAATTTAATACCTAATATATTATCCATCAACCGTAGGATCTGCGACTATTTTAGTGAATAATTTATTTGGAATAGGAGCAGTGTAAGCTCTCCATAATACTAACATATGTACAGATGCAAGTATAGGTCCATAGGCTTTATTAGCTCCTTTTCTATTAGCCCCTGCAAATAGCCATTGTGTTCCAAGAAGTGAGAAAGGCAAAAAGGCTAATGGTGCAGAAACTACAATATCATTGAGTACTTGACTGCAATTCTTGAAATTAAATAGCATCTTGTTGTTGATAATATCATATTATATACTTCTCTACTCATATATTAATCTAATAAGACTTCCATAACTTCGAAATAGGATTCAATACTCATGGCTATATCTGATCTAGTACCACCCACATAAGAGTAGAAGTTGTTCTTGAACATTAAATTATATTTATATTATTAATAATCTGTATATATTAATAGACATCTCATATCAAACCCTTCAGAGCATAATTTCTGATTTCTTATACATACTTTAATTGTTCCAAAGGTTTCAATTCTTCGGCCACTTTAACCTATAATAATAGATTATAGATATCAATAGTATCTAGATCTAAGATTTCAGACTCCATCTAATTCAATTCTTCATAATTCATCTTAGGCACAAATTCTTAAGACCATCTTCCCAAAATTATATCTAATTCTTTCATTCCTAAATTAGTGCATCTGTGCATAAGCATTTTTTGATAGGAATATAAGTCTTTAGGTCTGTTTGGCAGAATGATATTTTTTGTAAATTGTTCTGCTACTCGTTTCGATATAAAATTTTTAGATGCCATTTTCTTAATAAAAATATTAATTCTTATTAATAAATATATAAACATATTTCAATGCTTAATATGCCTTATTTACTTCATAATTATTTAAGATAATTTTAATAGTTCTTGTACATAATTTGCAGATAATTCATGAACCTCTGATTATGTACTATTATCTATTTTACTGCGAATTTCCATTAACTCTTTTAAAGACAGTTAATCCATTAGAGATTTCCCATTTCCCTTTGAAAAAACAGGTTTTTCTGTAATACTACTCGAGAAGGTAGTCCTTTTTGGTAGTTAATTATTTGATATTGCTAGAGGTGTATTTGAAATGAATCTAAATTTGTTAAATATATATTACGGTTATGATAATTTTGTTATTTAATTAACTTCATTATTTCCAAAACATTCAATCTTATTATATATACCACTCATCTTTCGAGATGAATCAGTGATATTTCTTTTATGATTAGAAACATTTGATTATTAGACAGGACCATTACTTGTATTCATTGTTTTCAATAACTCATCAAATGATGGTACACTATTAATAATAATTTTAATCACCTTTTTCGATGCTGTATATCTGTATGTAATGAATTCTTAGTTGATTTCTTAACTGAATTCTCTTCCTTTTTTACACTACTTAATTTTGATTAGCTTGGACTTTATATTCTAAGATATAAAGAATCTCGAAATTTATTTAAATTGAAATCTTCATCACCAACTAATAAATTTTTTTGACTCAGCATTAACGATATAATAAATTTAATAAATATATTTTAAAATATTCAATCTAATTTATTTCCACCCATAAATTCTTAATATAATATCTAAAATTATATAAAACAATTAGATATTATACATTTCTTCAAATATCTTCTATTTAGATTATTAAATATACATTATTATTTATATTTAAATATATAATAAATAAATATATATATTCATAATCCTAATCTACTTAAGATTATAATAATTTATCTTCTATTTTGAATCAATCACATTTAAAATAAGAATTAATAAAGGATCATAAAATCCAAATTCAAATATTTAAATATTATTTAATCTAAAATCAATTTTTCATGCTACTCAATATAATGAATAAACTATTAAAAGTATTTTAGTTTTAAAATATTATTTGTTATTCTTTATAACGATTTCATTATTGTCCTTCAAAATTTTATATTTTATAAAATATTTTAATTCTTCAAAATAAGTTTGAGTTACTAGATCTAATCAATCGATTTTTCTCTATTTTTCTTAATATTGATTATATTCTTTCTCATTTTAAACCATATTACTTATATATGTTAATAATTCAATATTTCAATTCTTAAATATTTTTAAGAACATTTCATACAACTTCCTAATGTTTTTTCAATAGCCTATTCTCTTGAACTAATATTATTTGAATATTATGTTATATTATTTTATTTTATTATAATATTCTTATCAATATTAATAACAGAGTTATTTTGGTTGTATCATTTTTGCAAGATATAAACCTTTTAAAAGATTAACTTATTTATCATTTCATATTAAATTAAGATATATGTAAGTAGCAAACTTATCTTAGTATTGAGAGCATAACCAATTTAAAGAATTAATTGGATTATAAATTTAGATAATATATAAATAATTGCAAGTGAAATAATGAAAAACGGCATAATGCTTAAAAATTAGTTATCATTATCAAGAATGAAAAACCTATTACTACATTTAGATGAATTGTAAGAATAATATTTAGTTACAATGGAATAGACTTAAATATAAATATCTAATATAAACAGTAATTCAGATTGTAAAATAAATATCACTTAGATTTATTCATCCAATAAGCCTTTTGAATTATTAGAACCTTTATAAAACTATTTAATTGAAATAAAAAATGCAAAGAATCCTATTTATATGAAATTGAATTAAAAAATAAAATAACTAATTTTTAGCTTGAATAAAGCAAAATCATTATAAGAACAAATCAAACAATAGTTGGAGTTACTATCTAATCTTATTAAAAATCTGAAGTACAAAAAGGAATGCCAAATATTAATTACTTCTTTTTCTTTGATTTTAAAAAAACGATAAAAATTTTAGCTTAAATTATTATAAAAGAATAATCAACTCTCGGAAAACTTAAATTATTTGTCTTAACTTGTAATAAATTAAGAAACTAATAAATACAAATTAAAATAATATTTTGAGTTATAAACATTACAAGACATTTTAGATAAAAAAATAAGACTTAATAACTCTAATAAAAATCTAGATATAAAATCAGAATGTTAAACTATTAAAGTAAAGGAAGAAGATTAAAATTTAAGATTTACTGCAGATAATCACAAACATTTATAATTCTTTTACAATTAATCCTAAATGTATTACAATTATTTCAATTATTCTATATATCAACAATATTACTACTTTAATTAACTAAAATAAGCTCAATGTAGTTTTTTGAATCCCTAATTACTTTATCAATATTAGCCTTTTATTAACAACATGTATTTTTAATTATAATAAAATTCTTAATAATAAAAGTGAGTTTAGATCAATTATTGTTATTTAAAATTTTTCAATTACTATCAAAACATAATCAAATTTTATTTTCCATCAAAATACATTAAACATTTTTTTAAATTATTTATTTTTTATGAAATCATTTTCTAAACTTCCAACAAAATACTATTAAATTATAGATATTTGATTTTAATATATAGCATTGATAATTGTATATGTAAAGTTAAAGATTAAAATATTTTGCAATAAATATAAAGACTTTTTTAAAGCAACTTTTAACTGCAAAATATAGAAATATCATGGATATGTTAATTATCAAAATGGTTATTTCAACTATTAAGGTAACTATGTTTGATCATCATCTAACCATGCAATTCTATTTCCCTTTTCCCAAATTCCTACCTTAACACTTCCATCAGGAAGTATATATTTACCTTAACCATTCTATTTTCCATATGCCCAAAGACCCTCATAAGCTAATGATAGTTTTATTTATTACCTTTCCCATCTGGCCATGTAAATTTACCAAATCCATGTTTCTTATCAAATTAATATTCTCCTTCATATCTTCTTCCATCCTTCCAAGTGTAAATTCCTTTACCATGCATATTATTGTTTACCCATTCTCCTTCATATCTTCTTCCATCACACCAATTATAAATACCAAAACCATTTATTTTATTATCCAACCAATTTCCATCATAAGTTGAACCATCACTCCATTAATAAGACCCTTATCCATTTTTCTTACCATTTATGTAATTACCTTTATAGTAGGAACCATCGATCCATTCTTCAGAACCTTAACCTTCTTATTAATCATTTTTCCAAAACCCTTCATATTTTGCTCCATTTAAATGAAGATATATTCCATATCCATTTGCTTTATCATCAACCCAATCCCCTTCATAGATGTCTCCATCAGCATGAATGAATTTACCTTTTCCATTTGCTTGATTATTCATCCATTCTCCTTCATACTTTGCACCGTCCGGCCCTATAGATTAATAATATATTTACATGTTTAAATTCCATAACCTTCTCTAAAAACTCCTTTCCATTAACCATCATATACTGCACCATTTTTAAATTTATAAGGTGGTCTTTTTTCAAGCTTTTTGTTCATTTATTAGTTTTATGACATACTTTTACCCTATTTTGATTGCTTTGTACTATCTTATATATCTTCTGAATCTTTATTCTACTAAAAATATGAATTGTTGTTCTGCATATTGAAAAACTAAGCTTTTGATGCATTCATGTTAATATCATCTTATGAAAAAATAATGTTATTTTTTTGTATTTCGTCTTTAATAATTTTACCAGTTTCATCTATAGTGAATCCTATCTAATCAACTTCTGATGAAGTATTTACATTACAACTTTGAGTACAATCATTTCCCATATATTTTAATCGGTTAAATGAGCAAATTAATTATATTTATATTAAATTAATTATTTTATTTCAAACTTAAGATAAAATAGAAAAATGCATAATAACTTAAATATCATTTATATAAATTATAATTAAATAATTTACTTTTGAGTTTACTATTCAAAAAAATGATTTTTAATTAAATAACCCAAATTTTGAATTTTCTCATTAAATAGATAATAAATGTCGAATAAACTTGTTATTTCAACTTTTATTCATGAATCTAAATTTAAAAAAATTGAATTTTATTTCTAGCTATGATTAATATTTAAAAACCAAATTAATTAACTCATATTAAAATAAATCTCAAATATTTATATGTAACTTAGGGTTTTATTAGTTTTTTGATTGAATAGAAAATTGTTATTTTGTTATTTTTAATGTTCAGATATTATTATCTTAGATAGATTGTATTATTATAGATATTATTATTAATAATTAAAGATTTAGTTTAAAAGAAATACATATATTAAAAGATAAGTTCAAGAAATCCTACTTAAATAGTTGATAAGAGTCTTTAAATTGTATCTAATAATAATAATAATAGATTTTTGTTATTAAATTATTAAATATATAATAATGTTAAAATGAATAATATAATTCTAGATATATATATTGAAAGTAATAAATGATTAATAATCATATATATTATAAATAATTATGTCTCTTAAACAAAATAAGTTAGATGCTTTGGCCGAGTGGTTAAGGCGGCGGCCTGCTAAGCCGTTGGGATTTCCCGCGTGAGTTCGAGTCTCACAGGCATCGATTTTTTTTTATTTTTATTATCCATAATACTATCAATCTAATAATAATCATTAATCTTATCATATATATATATTAACATCTTTTATTTATATTATCAATATATTCTATATAATCTTCTAACATATTTAATTATTGCGAAATCTCTAAATAATTTTACTTAATATCAAATGAAGTTCAATTGTTTGGAGAAAAGATTCTAATATTTTGAATTATACAAATTTTATAAGGTTGATTATATTGCATGTTTAACTTAGACTATAGTCTAAACTTTTAGAAATATCTTTCTGAAAAGAAATAAGAAAAAATATATTGTCT